TTTTTTTTTCCTTCTTCTTCATCTTCTGGTGCTGCCGCTGAAAATACCCCCCCCCAACCGAAAGAAAAAGTTCTCTGATCAAAGTTTTCTTTGCGGATTCAGGGAGATCTTGGCGAGCGCAGTCCAACCATGATTTCAAAAAAATAAAAATAAAAATTTTGACCCATTTTGGGCCCAACTGGAATAACCTGCTTTGAAGAACGATTTCTGTTTAGCATTTTATTTTACTAATTAAGGGAAAATTGCATCTGTACCCCACTTAAAGATGGGAATACCTGCTATACCCAGTCCCACCCCGAACTTGCATCTATACCCAGAGGCTGTTCTTCAACTTCGCATGGTACCCAGCTTTTCCCTGTGTGAAATTGTAGGCGTACCGAGCCCAACGTGCCCTGGGATTCGGAGCACGAAATTGCGCTCATGCCTTCCAAGTAGACCGTTGGCCCACCGCTGCCGGGTATGAGCATAATTAATAATTGTCCTGTAGTTGGTTATAACCTCGATTTTGAGGTACGAACTTGGGTCCACCTCGGTCTTGGGCATGCAAACAATTTCCACAGGCCGTTTTTTGGGTATAGATGCAAGTTGGTGCTGGGAGTGGGTATATAGCCGGTATTCCCAATTTCCCATCTTAAAGTGGGGTACAAATTCAACTTTCCCATAATTTATACAAAAAAGTTGAAAAAACAAAAATGGAAACAGTGCTCTGGTCCCATTATCTTTGGGACCTTTTGTCCGATTTTTAAAAAGTTCAAATTGACAGCAAGTGACATTAACTCAATTGACATTAACATAATAAGGATATTCTTTCTATCTTTGCATTCGGACTGTGGAAAGTATCATCATGATCGCTGACTTTCCTATTTGGGCATACTTTCTGCCATGATTGCTCTACTTGTAGACTAGCCAGTTTCTACTTGTAGGCGACTCTGTTTCTACTTGGAGATCATTTTTGAACAGTTCAACAGTCAGATTAGAACGTTGTGTAAGTGTTCTCAACACTGGAACATATGGAGGATCGTTTTTTGAACACTAGAAAATGTGTTCAGAGTACAAGAACTTAGTCTTCTGAACACTGGAAGTGTTCTGAACACTAGAACGTAGCTGGTGGTCAGTAGTCTCCCATTGCAGGAATTTCCAGCAGCAGGTTTGTGTGACTATGACGGTGATGACTGCGCTCTACGGTTACCCTCTGACGTTCACAATTTCCCGAAGTAGTGTGCGAACCCCCATGTGCACGGCCCTCCTGTTTTGAGAGATGGTACACCATGTGTGTGCTACCATCGTAACTGTTGTTGCCTCGTTCGCACTACCATCGCTGGCATCCTCTCTCTCTCTCTCTCTCTCTCTCTCTCTCTCTCTCTCACACACACACACACACACACACACACACACACACACACACGCACGCGCGCGGTTTCTCTCGCTCTGTCTCTTGGTTTCTCTCTCTCTCTCTCACGGTTTCTCTCTCTCTCTTTGTGTGAGGTCTTTCATGGGGTTGAAACCTTAACTCAGCGAGCATGTCATCATAATTGTGATGATGTTTTCGCTTTTCTGCTCGATTCTTCACACGTTTTTGGACCAATCGGAATGGCCGCGCTGCTGACGAACTGCAAGTATATAACAGATGAGGTGTTCATGGAGACTGCCGAAGTGCTTGCGGAGCTCAGCCCTCACGACAAGCTGGAGCAGGGCATGCTCTTCCCCTTATTCACTGAAATTAAGGTAAGCCTTAGGAAGGAATTTCAAAATTGGGAAGGAATTTCAAAATTTGAAATTGATTCTTTGAATGAGAGACCTCTGAACTCGCTTTGCTAGATTGGTGGCTTGCAAGTTAGATACGGAATTTCTGCTCCTGTTTGTTTGGAATTCCCCCGCCCCTCCTCAACCCTGCTTTCCCAACCTCCCTCCTCCCCCTCTCCTCACTCTGGTCGGGGTTCTGACATTCAACAGCGATTTTATGTATCTGGACAACATTTTACCCAAAGATGGTCACCCGAGTTTTTGACATTACCCAACTTGAGACGTTGATATTTATTCAAGTTCACTGAATTTCACTGTTTTTTTTTTTTTTTTTTTTTTTTTTTTTTTTTTTTTTTTAACACAAAAAGCTCATATACTTGTATCAGTTTCAGGATTTCTCAGGTGCACGAATCAATTTCAATTAACTAAGTTCATTAATTAAGTTAATGGGGAATGGAAATGAAATTCAATGAATCTGAGTTTAAAAAATATTGTGACACCAACGGGCCACCAATGAGCTGTTGAAATACAGTCCTGCAGTCACAGGCTTGAACTTCGGACCCGGTCACCTTGAGTCAAAATCTTTTCCAATTCAAGTTCCCTGTGGAACTACATGAAAATACAATGAACTAGAAGGGGGCATGAATCGAATTGAAATTTCAAATTTCAATTTATTATGAAAGTTAAAAAACAGAGAGGTCATAGGCTCGAGTCCTGTCATCGCGAGTCACGATCTGTGTTCGAATTCCCCATGGAATTAGATGAATACAATGGAAATAGAAGGGGACATGAATCAATTTCAAATTTCAATTTATAATCAATTTCAAATTTCAATTTATTAAGTTCAAGAAATTTAAAATAGACAGGTGACAGGTTCGAACCTGGTCAACGGGAGTCGAATTCTGTTCCAATTCCCCCTGGAACTACATGAATACAATGAACTAGAATGGGGCACAAATCAATTTATCAATATTTATTTATTTATTTACTTATTTAAATTATTTATTTATTTATTTTAAAATTATTTATTCATTTATTTTAAATATTTATTATTTATTTTAAATTATTTATTTATTTATTTTAAATTATTTATGTATTTATGTATTTATTTTTTATCACAACCCCGGCCTTGGCATTAATCAATTTCAAATTTCAAAATTTATGAAAGTTTAGGAACGTGTGAATGGGAGCGGGGACAAATCTGAGGGCAAAAAACTTCCACAACGAACGGAGTTCCCACCCATTGAGAACTGTTGGAAATTGAAATACAGATGTGAGTTGAATTCCCATGGAAGTACATGAATACAGAAATATATAATGATATCGAATGAAACAATTCTGAGTTACTGAGGACCGGTCAGCTCAATGATGATATCTCGAGGCCATCGTCCTTTTGAAACAGGGAAGAAAAAAAAAAGAAGAATGATGATTTCTCAAGGCCAATGCGCTTTTGAAAAAAAAAAAGAGGAAAAAAAAAAAGGAGTTGAGCTTGACAGCTTGTGAGAATTAATTAATTTGTTAATTGAATAGTTCCCCACAAGCAAACTGCAAGTGACACATGAGCGACAGCGATAAACAGAAATCCAAGTTGCAAAATCACGCAGATGTCCAGATAGTCACGTACCAAGAAGAGAGCTCAAATGCACCAAGATTTCATCCAAATAGAGTGAACGAATGAACTGGTGAGCCAATGTCGAAGCCCTCAGGCCACACCAACGCAGTATTCAATGTCGCTCCTACTGTCTGGCCCCCAGCGCCCAGCCTACTCTACTCATCCTGTCTAGCCTATCTACATTCGAGCAGCAGGCTCACTTCGACGACGAAGACCAATATACATGACGTCAACACCAATGCAGACCGCCAGCATACACAGGTACGTTCTCGCTCCTCCCCTCGTCGCCCCTCGACTTCCCCACAGGGTGGTGCATCCCAGATGCCCAAAGACCACCATTGCCATCCAGACCTGCGCCCAGAAGCTCGGCTATGGCTGCTGTGCGGCCACTGCTCAGCAGTGCACCTCACACCCTGGTGCCCGTGTGCGCGACCCAGCCAGCAGCTTCGTGCAGATCACGGAGTTGCAATGCAGCAGCGTGGCCGCATTGCCTGCCTACCGTCTTCCCCCAAACACAATGCACCCTTATTTTGGCTGTATCTGGCCGGAAATATAGCTTGTATTCATTCATTTGTAGGGTGCGTTATGTTCGGGGGAAGACGGTAGGCCAGAATCCCTCTGGCTGCCACGCTCACTTTCCTATCCTATATGGAAAGTGAGCTCTGCTTGTCGACCTCTGGGCCTGGCTGGGCGAGTTTCCAGTAGCTTCCAGTTGGTCCTCGATGTCTGTGCACAGGCCCCACAGTTGCAGTTACGGGCCTGGGCCTAGTTGCAGTTATGGGCCTGGGCCCGTTACAGTTGGGCACGTCCAGGCAGTCCATGGGCCTCCACATGTTTGCTGCGGTCCCATTGGCTCGTGGCTGAGATGTGACGACAATGCTGCATTCTGATTGGCCCGCTCCCGTTCTGTGATGTGCCGGCCTCTGGTGGCTCACGTGCCCACGGCCTCAACTTGTAAGTGCCCTGGGCTCAGCCGCTTCCCGAGCTGCTGCTTCCGGAAGAAGCCAGGGGGAGGCTCACTTCACCCTGTAACCAACTGGCGTGCTGCAACTGTCTGATATTACCCCATATGCAACATTTGGCAAAGGTAGGCCTCTCGTGATTATGGCCCGCCTTCACTTAGGGTGGGCACAGGTCTGTACGGGGCCTCAGCCGAGATGTGGGGTGAGCCCAAGAAGGGCTGATATGCGAAGATTCATGCCCGCATATAGATTCCAACGGCCCCTTTAGCGTGATCACACTGTCCTGTACCCAGGCCTTGGCACGCCTTGGCTGGCCCACCTTTGGGCGAGGCCTTTCCCAGCACTGCTGAGGGCTCAAATCGTTGCAAAACTGGTTGGATGGGTGGAACAACTGAAAAGTTACTGAAGTGGTCAATTCCCGATTTCCCATTAACTCAATTATTAATTAAAAAAATATAATTTAATAATTTTAATTTTAATTTTTTATTTTCAAAAATTTTAAATTTTAAATTTTAATTTATTTTTATTTTTATTTTTACCATTCCCGTCTCTTTGTCTCTGACTCTCTGTCTCTGTTCCTGTCTGTGTCTCTGTCGCTGTATTTTTTTGCGTGTTGTCTGGTGAACTGTTTCTTTGTCTCTGGCTCTGTGTTTTTCTCGTGTCGTCGGTCGGGCTTTTTGATAAAATTTTGGCATTCGACTTTTTTTTGATTGCTGAAGAACTTTGTGGCGATATTGATTGGCAAAACCGCCGAGTTTATAGTCAATGCCGGGCTTGCTGAGAGTGCGGAAGCAAGCAAGGTCAGCGATTGGATCGCGCATGCCAAACAAGCCATGTTCCAGCCGCTGCCAGGAAGGTAGGTAGACACTCTACTACCGTCTTCCTCCTCCCTCCCCCCATCCTCCCCAACCCAAAAAAAAAAAAAAAAAAAAAAAACACAATGCACCCTCGTTCTGACTGTATTCCAGTGGAACTATAGCTTGTATACAAGCATTGTCAGGGTGCATTAGATTTGGTGGGGGTAGAGACGCTACTCGGCTCGGAGATCATTGGGACCGCATGCAGGGTTTTGTTTCAGAAGCTGGGCATCGCTACAACATGCAGGTCTTTTTATTTTCCCCTTTGTTATGACTGAACCCATCTGGAAAGATAGCTTGTATACATTCACTATCACGGTGGGTTAGATTTCGTGGGTGTAGAGACACTACTTGGAGATCATTGGAACGACATGCAGGGTTTTGCTTCTGTACATCACTATGACATGCAGGTTGTATTTTTCTTCTTCTCTTTCTTTGTCTTTGTTATTTTTCTTCTTCGTCGTCTTCTTCTTTCTCTTTCTTTTTTTCCTTTCCTTTTTTTTTTTTTTTTTTTTTTTTTTGTGTTGCAAGTCCAGGTTGTTGTAGAGGCTGGATGCTAGACAAATGACATACACCCTTCGTAGTCGGCCGGCAGGCGGTATAGAGTTTCCTATATTACTTATAAGAATGCAGGTAGGTTTTGCTTCTGCTTCTGCTTCTGCTTCTGTGTCTGAGACAAACTTGTACGGCGCATTCCGATTCTCTTTGAGACCCAAGCAAGAAACGTTCGCTGCCAGGCACGGACTTCAAAAAAAAAGAAAAAAAAAAAGTCCCCAACCCAAACCCCACCCCCACGACAACTACTTTCTTATTCTTTACTACAAATACTAAACATTAAAATTGATTAAATACAAAAAGTGCCCAAGTCCACACTCTCATTCCACAGGCACATCATTTTTCTGATGAAGACCCTCCCCTTGCCACCCTTCTATGCGTTGAACCATCCCCCATGTGCATCACACCCAGGCTGCCAGCGATCTCTGCTTAGTACCCTTATGCCCTCACACACTTAACAAATCACACCCTGTCGAATGTACCCCAGAATCTACCCTTTTTGCTCCCATTGCCTGCGTGAATTCCTGGTTTATTTATTTATTCCAAATCTACCCTTTTGTTTCTGTTCCCGGTGTGAATTCCTGACTATGCATCTTTCTCAGTTTCTCTCTCAGGCTCTCTCCCCTCATGACTGTTTCTTGTTGGAATTCCTGACTAGATACATCTGTATGGGGGAGCCTACCTCGATGACTCCCTTCCCTGTATACTTCATCCTCTTCAAGCTCATAGCTGATGATTTGAAAAATGAAATCAATTCTTCACTTCCGTCCTCTCTCCCCTTCCTCTCTCCCCTCCCTCTCCCACCTAGACTGTATCTGTATGTGGCGCCTATTCTAGGTTCAATTCATGACTTCGGTTTATTATGGCTCTTGGAAATATCACTGTCTCAACATCCTGTGTTCCAACTTCCAAGTCTCAACTGGCATTGCGGGGAGGAGGGGGGCGGGGGGGGTACGAAAAAGGGGGTTTCACCTTATGCAATGGGGTAGCCTCCTGATGAGTTGGTGAAACTCCGATGGAAGTTATTACTGAACAGTTTTTAACAGCCGCTTGTTTGCTGTCCTATTCTTCCCTCTCTGCCTACGGTTTACCTGTCAGCTCTGTTTGATGGTTATATATATTGTCACATAACTATGAACTAAAAGAGCGCAATTTGCAAAAAAAATGGCAAAATTTAAAAATAAAAAAAACAAGACAAACTTCTGATGCTGTCTAGCGCCATTTGGGTCCACGGGAGGGATTGCCTTGTGAGAATCTTGATTATCCATTTCATCTGCAGAGCTATGGATTCCTGTTTTGGGTCGATTATTCCAAGGCCCCCTTCTTGTGGCTTCCTGGTGATGTGGTTCCATGCAACCTTGTTGATGCAGGTGGTTCTGTTTGGGTCACCTGTCCACAGGTAGAACCTCACCCTGTTCTTGAGCTCCTTGAGGTCGTCGTCGGGGGGGGACCAGATTGATGCCATGTACCACAGTGTAGAGAAGATCGCTGTGTTGATAAGAAGTGCCCGTCTGATTAGTGAGGCCTGCGCATTTTTGCACAGGGCCAGGCGGGTGATTGCTCTTGCTATCAGATTCTGGCCCATTCCCGGCCACACCCCTTCTTTGTTAACCATGATGCCCAAGAACCGTAGTGCTTGTTCTCCCGTGGTCCAATTCATGGGTGTGATTGTGTCCGGCGGTTGGGGAGGGGTGCCGTCTGCTAACCACCAGCCTTCGGTTTTGTTCCAATTGACCCTCATTTCTGAAGCCAGTCTGAAGGCTTCCATTGCCCTTACCAGTGATTGGAATGAGCTGTTATTAGCTCTAATGAGTACCGTAAGGTCGTCAGCAAACATGAGTGTAGTGGGTAGGGTGAAGTCGTGTAACGGATTGAAGTTCCGTTTTGTGAGGCGGTCGATGGATGGGTCTTTGCGGAGAAATGAGGCTATGGCTTCCATTATGAAAAGAAAAATGGGAGGAGCCAGTGGGTTGCCTTGTCTGACTGACCGTGAGATTGGGTAGGTTTCTGATAGGATTCTATTGACCTGGACTCTTCCTGTTGCATCTGCGTACAAAATTCTAACCCAACTTCTAAAGTTCGGGCCTACCCCCATTTTTTCCATGCATGCGTGTAGAAAATCCCAGTTAACTTGGTCGTAGGCTTTGTCGAAGTCGAAGAACAGGATTGCTGCCTTCATTCGTTTCTCCATGATTTTTTTTGCTGCTTCATTCAGGGTCATCACATTGTCTAATATATAACGACCTGGGATGAAGCCTGCTTGATCGATGTGGAAGCAGCTATTCGTTAGTTTGGTGATTTTGTTTGCAAGCGCCTTGGCTAGGATTTTGTATGGAGTGGTTAGCAGGGAAATAGGTTTGTAGTTTTTCAAGTCTTCTTTGTCTCCCTTTTTGTAAAGGAGTGAGACTATGCTGGTGCTCAGCTCCTTGCCTAGGCCTCCTTTGTGCATACTTTCGTTAAAAAAGTCGAGTAGATCCTCCCCAGTGTCGGCCAGAAGCAGCACAAGGCAATCCCTCCCGTGGACCCAAATGGTGCCAGACAGCATCAAAAATTTAGCTCCCATCAACTCCCCTAGAAATATGAACGGTCTGTTTTGGATTATGGCAAAAGAATGGACAATCAAATCCGGCAGACCACGCAGAAGAAACCCCACACAGTACATGCCTGCACAGCCCGTCACAAACCCAACGCACGCAGTCAGCAAATATTGGAGCCCCATTAAAGCATGGCGCAAAATGATGTCGAACAAACATGGGGCACCAAGCAACAGAGAAGGAAGTCCTGAGACAACCGCTTTTCTGCAACCCTTGGATCACCGACCCCAGCGGAACATCCTGGACCCTACGTTCTCGAGACCAAAGATGGTTGTCGTGGGTAGAAAAAGGAGTTTGGCAGGTCAAGCACATCTGGAACGAGGATCAAGGACGGTGGACCACGGATCAGGAACTACGCACCACATTAAAAGGCTGCCACGCCCTCTTCGATAACCTAACACTGATCCAAAATAGCATCCCAACACAATGGCTCCCCCTCCTAAGGGAGGAATTCTCGTGGAAGTCCGGGGACTGGGGCATACTAGTCTCCCAAGCTCAGCCCACCAGCGCATACAGGTTTGTTGCTAGAACAGACCCACCCGACTACCTATCCAGATTCCATCCCTACCCGGTAGCGAAACACAGCACACATAAAATGGAAGTTCAGATCAACGACCCCCAGAGCGACTTTCCGATTGAGAAAAGTTAGGGTTTTAAAATCCAAACCCTGTATAATCTTCCGACCGGATCTCTGCATCTCAGATCTCTGCATCTCAGAGCTAGAATTCGACCCGAAAGAATGGATATGGAAACAGGGAAACACAGGGAGGACGAGAACAATAACAGAATACGACGTCAAATTCGGCTATGATCTAGGCCTACAGACCACAGACCCAGACCCCAGACTAAAAGATAAATGAAGGACCATACTGAGTCTGGACCCCTCGACCCCCATAACCATCCCGTGGACCAAATTCCTAACCATTAGACCGGCCAGGATTCGAAGCATGCAATGGCTCTTAGCTCACGCCTCCCTGCCAACCAATCAGTGGCTCCACAAGAGAAGAAAACACACAGACCCCGACAGCACCAAGATCTGCAGACTGTGCACGGACAACGCTGTGGAGGACACACTCCACTGCCTCTTGTACTGCACAGAGGCAACATGGATCTGGAATAAAGTGCGCAGCCTATGGACCACTCTGTTCTCAGCACCCCCCCCGGCCCTAACCCCCCTGAACATCCTGCTCCTTTCTAAGGACACTAACAATCTCAGAGGAGGCAAGGATGTATGGTTCCACCTTCTCAGAAAGTTGGCGCTTTGGGTAATCTGGAAGAGGAGATGCTCCAAGACGATCGAAGGAACAGAGATGCCAAGAGAGGAAATGTGGGTCTAACTGCTGAGAATGGTGGAAACAGAGATTCGCTCCAGACGGCGAAAGGCAGACCAGAAAGGACAGCCTCAAAGAGACGAAAATTCATAAGAGACTGGCTCATACAGGGAAAGATCGCCACAGTGGTGGATAACAGAATGGTGTGGAAGAAGTGACACAACGCAAGAAAAGAGGAAGGGCAAGCTGACAGTCAATCCTCCTGACAAGGAGCAATCAATGCTGGTCAGGGTTCCTTCGGCCAGACGGAAGGAAGCGTGAGGGTGTTCACCATGTATTTCATTCTTGACTTGCCGACGGTAAGGAACCGGACTGACGCTCCCCAGAATGGATACGGAGCCAGGACCATAAGGACCTGTTTTCAAAAAAAAAAAAAAAAACAAGACAAACATGAAGGCAGCTCTGTTTGCCTATATATGCAGGTACCTTGAGGGCAGTGGTTGGTGGTCCCCACCACCTCAGAGGGGTATCAGTTGTCTGGGCAGTTGTTGATGCTTAACCACAACCGACCGGGGTTAAGGTGGATTATCACTTACAGTGTAATCAGTTAGGTAGGGGATTCTGCAGACTGTCGAGGGGTCAGACTCCTGACGAGTACATGAAACTCCGACGAAACAGTTTGTCACAGCCCGTCGTTTGTCTTCCTCTTCTCCCTCTCTGCCTACGGTTTACCTTTGACGATATATATATATATTACCGGGCAGTTCTGTTTGTGACGATATATATATCGTCAAATAGGAAAACAAATGATTTCTATAGTGGTTCCATGAACAATTCTCTCTGGATCGCCTGTCGCTGGAGATAAAAGATTGCGATGAGAAGTCATAATTAGACGTGCTTCTTTCTGTGATTCTGGGGATATATATGGTCACAAACAGAACTGCCCGGAAAACGGTAGGCAGAGAGAGAGAAGAGGACAACAAACGAGGGGCTGTGACAAACTGTTTCGTCGGAGTTTCACCGACTCATCAGGAGGCTGAATCTATATATCTATCTATATATATATCTATATATCTATATATATATATATACTGTTGAGGGTTCAGCCTCCTGATGAGTCGGTGAAACTCCGACGAAACAGTTTGTCACAGCCCCCTCGTTTGTTGTCCTCTTCTCTCTCTCTGCCTACGGTTTACCGGGCAGTTCTGTTTGTGACCATATATAGTCAAACAGAGCTGCCCGGCAGAACCTCCTGGTTCTGGCTCCTACCAACCATTCTGGGGACCTCACCCCTGAGGCCTAAGTTAGCCTGTGCTACTTATATTGCCTGGCTGTTTCGAAAATGCCTGGGCCCTGTTCTGCTCCTCTCAGCTGTGGAGCTGTCGAGTTGATGTGTCGTGCAAGAGCGGTCTGGATCGCATGTGCTGTCTTGCAGGTTTCTAAACACTCTGAAGAGTCTGAACCCTTACTTAATATCCCGTTTCTGTCTAGATTTAAAACCCTAAACCCTCGGTGTTGTGTTGCCTTGAGTAAAGGAGGGGATAAACTCGGAAGAAAGATTGGAGAGAAGACAAACGGAGCAGTACAAAGGGAAAGTAAGGCGAAGTAAGGAGTGTGCAATGAAGATGTGGCCAAAGTGAGCACTAAAAACCTTGCGAGAAATATCTTCCAAGTCACTAGTATGGCTGTCAAAATCGTGCGCATCAGCTTGAAGGTTCCAAATCCAAGTAGTTGTATTAAGTCTGTTAGACAGATTTCTAGAGAAATGGCCTGGTTTTGCCCACTTCTCAAAATGAGTTTTTATGGGACCCCTCTCAACTAAAATCTTAAACTTGTTCCGGTCGACTAATAATAGTCATAGAGATTCTCCTCAGGCAAAAGAGAGGATAATAACAGGCTCAAGAATTGGTCTGTCCTTGCCGACAGAGAGGATGTACACTGTAAGGATGAGGTGGGTGAACGTAGTACGTTCATTATAGCTGTATTTGGGGCAACTTTAAGTCTAGATACAGCAATTAGGCCTGTATGCTGTATTGGGTTGAGCCTCGCTGCACTACTCTCGAAATGTGCAAAACGAGAGTGAATCTTCCACTAGAACAAGGAAAGATACACGGCCATGATTTTTGTCTTTTCTGCATGTCAAGAGTAGTGCAGCGAGGCCCACAGTCTCAGTACAACAATCGCCACGAACGCTGCTATTGTGCATGCCCACCGTAACATACACTCTCGACAAATGGCACCCCGATTGCAGGCCAACATGAAGTACGGTCACCACAAGAGACCGTGCATTTCAGTACAGTGCACATGGCCGCAAAACGGACATATACAGTACAGTGCACATGGCTGCAAAATGGACATAGCGTGGCCGGATGCGGAGGGTGCCTGCAGTCAGGAACAGAGGGACAGTCCTCTACACGGCACTGTGACATGCGTTGGATTCAGATACCAAGTCATTGCAGTGTGACTGTGTATTGCAGTGTGACTGTGACAGACACGACGGCGTGTGCAGCCGAGTGTACCAATGTTTGTAGTTATAATATCAGCTGCGCAGCTTTAAGTTGGTACATGTTTGACTCGTTGAGCTTCATTTAATCTGTGATGGATAATGATTGCAAAATGGACTAAATTCATCGTGGATAATGTTTGCAACATGGACTAAATTCATCATGGATAATGTTTGCAAATTTTTAATTTTGCAATTGAAATTTGTGTGCCAGGGTGCCTCACACAGAGATCAAGGAGATGGCAGCGCCTGTGATTGTGGAAAAGGACGTGGAGGAGCTGGTCGCAATGAGGAAACAACCAACTGACCTCGACCGGTATCTGTACGTGAGACATTTGCAGGTATTGCTGCTTTTTTTTTTTTTTTTTTTTTTTTTTTGCCAGATATTGTCTTTGTTTTAATTACCATTCTGGGTGATAGTGCAATGGAAAATGACAACCTGCACCTGGTCCACTTTCACGTGTGAATGCATCCGTCCTACAGAAGACTTAGTTCTTTCGTGGCACTGCAGCGACTGCACACATTTCGCGTTGAAATTCAACCCCAAAGCCATTGTGACTCTGTGACATTGATGCCATGAACATGAACAGCAAATTTGACCAAATCCGTTCTCCCCTTCCGTTGCATGCACTTGGGTTATGGATAGGGAACTTCTGTATTGCGATTTAGCCACAGAGCTCTTTTTTTTTTTTTCCAGCCACAGAGCTCTTGTTTTCGTTTTTTTCTCTCTCTACTCTTTGTTATCTTTTTTTTTTTTTTTTTTTTTTTTTTTTCAGGTGTGTGTTGTGGTTATTTTGGGTTCTGGGCATATTCGTGGGAGAGATACCACACGCCCATGAAAAGGCCAGCAGGACCCCAATAATGTTTACCCTCCACAGCTGCAGGCAGCGTCCGTCCCTGTCAGGTGTTGGCATTTTTTTTTCTGGGACCCAGTCTGCAGGCGTCGTGGATAGTTGTGATGGCATCTGATGCCGTTTGCTTTGCGTTTTCTGAATGCCCTCATCCGGAACCTTCTCCCTCCCATTTGCTCCTAGATGCCATCTGCATGCGGTTGTTGTGCCCCTTCATCTGTTTCATTGGTTAGAGTGCGCTCAACACTGGAATCTCTAATGGCACTCTGTGATGCTCTGCGTCAGGCGTAACCCATACTCCATGGAGCTGTGTTCGACGCTCAATCACCTTTCATCTGGTCCACAGAGTGGCCATCTCACCCTTGGTCTTCTTGTGTGCTTACTGTTTCTGTCTGTATGTGTGTGCGTGTGTGTGTGAGAGTTCTTCTGTCTGTGTGCGTGTGCATTTCTGTGTGTGGGTGTGCATTTCTCTGTGTCTCTGGTGCTTTGTGTGTGTGTGTGTGTGTGTGTGTGTGTGTGTGTGTGTGTGTGCGTGCGTGTGTGTGTGTGTGTGTGTGTGTGTGTGTATTTCTGCGTCCCTGGGGTCTGTGTCTCTGGGGGTCTGTGTGTGTATGTGTGTTTCTCTCTGTGTTTTCTCTGGGGGCTGTGTGTTTTTCCCTCTGTGTTTCTCTGGGCGTGTGTGTGTGTGTGTGTGTGTGTGTGTGTGTGTGTGTGTGTGTGTGTCTCGATGAGTGTGTGCTTGTGTGTGTGTGTGTGTTGTCTCTCTGTGCTTTTGATGAATGCGTGCCTGTGTGTGTGTCTGTGTGTGTGTGTGTGTGTGTGTTGTCTCACTGTGTCGTCATGAGCTTGTGCCTGTGTGTGTGTGTGTGTGTGTGTGTGTGTGTGTGTGTGTGTGTGTGTGTGTGTGTGTGTGTGTCTGTCTTGTGTATGGGAGGGGGGGAGGACGAAGAGGATGGTGGGTGCATTTGTTTGCAATATTGGGTGGGTGTGGGATATGAGCAGGATAATCAGCCAGAGAGGTTCTTCAAGCTCTTGATGCACCACGCTCAGGAGTTGCTTCCCTATGTGTACACACCTACCGTCGGTGAAGCGTGCCAAAAGTACCATAAGCTGCCTTTCACCACAAGGGGCATGTACATCAGGCCTGAGAACCGCGGGCATATCTTGGAGATGCTCAAGGCCTGGCCCCATCAGGACATCAAAGTTGTCGTCGTCACAGATGGCGAGCGGATCCTTGGACTTGGAGGTAAGCCATATTGCGAGATGAAGGGGCGTGTGTGACACCATCAAGGGCGGGAGGGAGGGAGAGTCTGTCTTGAGTGGTGTGTTCTGGCTGCTGCCCCCAAATGGGGCCAGGACTTACTGTGGTAGAATTCAAGCAACATCAGTAATTACTAATTACTGATTACCATGTATCTGTCCTTTGGGACATCCGTTAAACCTGGAACGATACAGTGGCCCCTGTGCAAGGATGACACCCATAAATCGAGAAATGGTTTATTACCATGTACGTGATCACCACCATCGTGACCAGATACATGCCAGCCTAGCTTACCACGGTAACTCCGCAGTGCTGCCCGACTTTATTATGACAATAGGTTCTGCCGAACTGTAAATTCCCATTGCGTATGTTACTGTCTTTCCCCCCAAACACGAATGCACAACGGTCCTCATCGTGACCGTATCGGACTGGAAGGATAGCTTGTATACATTCATTTATTGAGTCCCTCATTGTGACTGTATCGGTCTGGAAAGATGGCTCGTATAGGTTCATGTTGGGTGCGCCTTGTGATCTGGGAAGACAATTTTGGAAGCAAACATAATCAGTGTTTCTAATGGAAGTCTGACTGTGCACTGCAACCATACAACCCGCTTCCTATAAATGGAATGGAGGCTTGTTGGATTCTTCTTCTTCTTCTTCGTCGTCGTCTTCTTCGTCTTCATTTTTTTTTTTTTTTTTAACGCTATTGTCAGGTTGGGTACAATTCTGCATTCAATGCTATGTTCAGGTCTGATACTGATGGTATACCTCAGCAAATCAGGGCTG